TTTATAAGGTGCCCTAGTTCTGAGAAGCACCGTTTCTAAGCTATTTGCAAAAAGGGAGAAAATTAATTTATTTTTGTTTAGATCAAGTTAACCGGTAATATATTATTATTATTATTTTTTTAAATATTTTTCTCGCTCTCTCCAAGTGGGCCCCTATTACCCTTAAAAGGAATGACGCCAATTTCGAATCACCCTGTATATGTCGATAGATGGTATTCTAAGCATATTTTTTTTGTCAGGTAGCAATATAAATTTTCAATTGCGTAATTCAACAACGTAATGTCAGTGGTATAATTTTTCAAAGGTTAATTGCGAATAAGCTACCTAGGATTTAGCATAGAGCCCCAACTAGTTTCGTCCTAATAATTTACACTTCAAAAAGCATACGCTAATACGAGTTATTCAAATCGAACAACAAAAGAAACCGCTTTACCAAAAAAAATCATTTAAACTGCTCATTTGTGGTCCGATCGAGTACGAAACATGGTTAAGTCGTTGTTAATGGTCAAAGTAAAACCCATTTTGCATTTCTCTTTTTAGGGCGGCATTCTTTGTTATTTAGATTAGAGAGAGACGCTAATTCTCCCTATTCAGCGAGGGAAACCGCCGTTTCAGGTCGTACAGGAATTTAAATTCGGATGCCACAAGTAAATAAATTAATAAAGATGATGAAAATTTGCTGTCAGGTGGTGATTCAATAAATTACCCCGTGGCATTTCTCGGTGGTTTTAATTGCCGCCTTAGACAATCGGCTGGAAATTTTACGACCGAAACGAAACCTGCCCCCATACCCATTAATTAACACTTTCCAGCAATCCCTTTCAAGCTTAGTTAGCTGTACTTTGAATAAAAAAACGCTGTAATAAAATATAAATCAGGGTTAAACAAAGTAGAATTAAATGTACGAAGGATAATGGGATAAGCGACAAAGAGCTAATATAACATAAATATCTTATTTAGTTGTAGTGCTAGCTCTAATTCAACTACGACTTCATTCGTATCGATTCGATCATTCTAATCTATTATGAAGTAATTTGGCCTAATAAAAGACGTACATTATTTCCCTACCCGAGTTACATATGTAGTATCTGCTGATAGCACAGATACTTCATGGGAACCGCTGACGCCGCAGCCATCTTCCGCTAGAAGTCGCCAAGGTTCACACCTGAACCCCTGGGAACTGCTGACCAATAAGTTTAACCAATCTTTCATTTTAATGTATAAATATAGTAATATTCATTCTTGCTTCTAACCTCGACCTGAACAGTTGTATTAAAGGAATAAACCTTTTCTTTTTTAAGTCTGTCTATCGTTCGTTATACGTAATTCCCGCACTGAAATTCATGCAAAATGTACATCAATCGGTTACAAAATAACAAAGTACCGAGGTCAAAAGCAAATTTGAATTATGATTGATATGTCGATGTGGAATATATATTTTTTATTTCAATATAATTTTCTCAAAACATGACATATACGATCATAACGCTAAGGTGTTCAATGTTTTCTTAATACATTTCATCTTACATTTTAAATTGGAATATTTATTTTATTTTTTCTCTAGTATTTGTATTTATTTTTCACCGTCTCTGATAATAAAATAAATGTTATGCATTAAACAAATTTAAAAAGGGAAGAAATAAGATACCAAAATAATTTACTCAAAAGAAATATAACATAAAGATCTTGGCAGATCGGATCAGAAAAATGTGTGTGAACGTGACTCACCATCTCCATACCCAGTAAAAGCTTATAAGAATTGAAATTAAATCCATATTTTTCAAAACCACAAACTGCCCCATGCAATCATACAGGGCAAAAACGGAATCAGAAACGTATACACAACTAATGCTAAAAATACCTGTAAGAACTTAGAACGAGGATCTTAAATCAATCCATGTCAATAAAATCAACGGCAATGCGATACAAAGAAGGAAGGTATGAATCTAACACATCCAGGGCCCACCATAGAATCGTAAAGAGCACTAGGATTCTGATGGGGCGTAGGAGCAATGGAAGTCTCCGTAAGGAATGAAGGGGTAACTTGCCAATAGATCAAACCAGGCAAAGGTTTATATAATTTTAATGATGAAAACGAAAAAATGTGCATTCTTCTTCTTCTAGCCGTTAGGACATAGGCCTCCCTTGGCTCTTTCGATTTTATTCTATTATGGGCAATTCTCGTCCATGGAAGTCCCGCCACATTTTTCATGCCGTGATACCAACGTGCGATAGGTCTTCCACTCGCTCTTCTGCCGATATATGGTCTCCAGCAACACTCTTCTATTCCACCTATGGTCATTTATATGGGCAATATGTCCCAGCCCCATTTAAGATGTGCTGCTCGCTCTGTTATATCTGTTATTCTAGACTTGCTTCTCTTTACCTTATTTAATTTTTTTGTCACGCAGAGAAACGCCCAACATACTTCTTTCGATATTTCTTTGGGATATCGAAGCTTGTTCACCATTAGCGGTGTTAAGGTCCATGTTTGAGCGCCGTATGTGGTTAATGGCAATACGCATTGGTCGTAAAGTGTTGATAGCAAATACCTGTGTATTCATTTGTTGTATACATTTTTTTTTATTCGGTAATTTTTTGTGCTAAAGCCCTTTCTGAATGCTGCTTGTTCTACAGGTTGGAAACATCGAGTTTCCTTCTGATTCTGGTGAACAGTTTTTAGATGTGTCAAAGCAAACAAATTCTATAATTCGCAAAGCATTGCGGGTCTCCTTTCTTGTAGAGCAGAATAATTATGAATTCGTTCCATGATTCAGGTATTTCTTCGGAATCAAAGCAAGTGTTGAAAGGTGTCTTTGTATTGAAAGTTATTTCGGGGATGTCGTCCGACCCTACATTCCTTACTTTACTTAATTTACAATTTGCCTACATATAAAATATATTTTTAAGTATTTAAATTTAATAGTGTTGACGTCAATAGCAATAATCACATTACAACAAGATTCAAACGTGCAGATTGTGTCTAACGGCAATGAAATAAGAAATAATTTCTGATGCATACCAAACCATGAATATAATTTCATTGCGAATTAGACATTCAAATTCCCCATCGCTATTGTCAATTATTTCAAAGCACTTACGAATTTAATTAGAACCACTTATGCATTAAAGATCATTGTTCTTTTTTTCTTTAATTGACAAATTTGAATAACCTTGTTATTAAGCGACTCCGGCCAACCTGCCTATTATTACGCGAATCATAGAAATTTTTTCACTTGAATTTATAAGCACATGAGTTATTGAATCAAAGTTATGCGTAAAATTGATGGAATATATTCATCGAAGTTCATATCTTCCAAAGATAAAGCTTTGAACAATACTGTCTTATTATTCCACTCACTGGTTCATATTATGACTAGGTATTGATTTTTAATAGAATTCTAATAATTTTATTTGATTCAGCTCCCGTACTGTGGCTTAGCAATCGGAGCAGTTTAGCATTCAAATGTGCTGCAGACATTATTAGCAACAATGCTCGTAACAGTGACTGCGCCATAGGAAATTTCCGCTGATACAAGTCAATATAATGTTATAACGTGTTTCCATTTAGAAAATCAAACAAATA